TAGGATCAATGTTTTTAGCTAATTTGGGTGAAGGGTAACTAATACCTCGATGATACCCGACGGCGACATTTTGGCGATCATCCTTTTAATGATGTTGTCGTGGCAGTCTCGTGTTCAGTAGAAATGCGCGCTGCACTACGGTTTTCGAAAAAGCCTCAACTGTGATCTAATATCGTGGAGTACATCAAGGACGACATCATCAGATGTCAACTTTGTGAGGGGTCCTCACCGAGTGTGGACAAAGCTGGGAAGCATTGTATGCCAAGACAATGTGTCGAGAACCTTCTTGATCTCAAGCTCAACATCATATTCGCCTGGTAGAATCTTCTGATGTGAAAGTGCTTTTGTGGACGTACTTGTTTGTTGGAATGTGCCGCGGGGTTATATCATTATTAAAAGTAGAGAGAAAAAATCCTTTTTTCTTGTTCCCTTCTGTGGATTGGATAAATTTATTATTTCATATCACACACCTATTTCATTGTTTGACAGAGTTTTTTTTTGCTTTTTTTTTTCGTCGACTCTACTCATGTGCTATAATCGAACGAAATTCGAAGATTTTTTTCAGAACTCCAAAAGAAGAACGAGAGACATTGTACAATGTGCTGTCCTTGGAGTTTTCGAACACAGAGATGGAGGTCAGTTTTGAAAAGAAAACTGCTTGGATTTTTCATATTTTTTTCGAAGCCTAATGGTTCAAGTCTTGTCATTCCAGGACATCATACAGTCACCAACTCTCGTTCGTCAAATAGACTGGGTTGAAAATCATTGGCCGGATGCTCTGCGTCAGCGGTACATCACGTTTAACAAGAAAGGACATTACACTCCTCATCACACGTATCCAAAAGTACAAAAGTTAGTATAGTCATGGCTACATTCAATCATTTATTCCCATGATTGGTAATATTTTATTTTTCCGAAGGGTAGTTTCGAATACTTTGAGCTACTCCGATTAGGCAATTGTTTATGGAGGTTCTTCTTTACTTTAACTTTTTCGTTGCAGTTATTGTTTGATGAGTGTTGAACGCTGCTACACGGATTTTCACGTCGATTTTGGTGGCACTTCGGTATGGTACCATGTTCTCAAAGGCCAAAAGGTATCTTGTTTACCCTCTTTTGTGCAGTCTCGTAAGCTACCAGCTCATTTTGTTGATTTAGATATTCTGGCTGATTGAACCTAGTCTGACCAATATCCGCTTATATGAGGAATTTGTGAAAAACCCGGAGCAAACAGGATTTTTTGGTCATGTTGTTGATAAATGCGCTAGAGTGGTATTGAATCCTGGAACAACAACAATTATCCCTTCTGGTTAGTACTCAGAACTTTGTCATTTTCTAGATACTTGTCCGGTATCATTAAAAGTCATATTTTTATCCAGGCTGGATTCATGCTGTATACACACCTTCTGATAGTCTGGTTTTTGGTGGTAACTTCCTCCATTCACTTCGTTCTGAAATGCAAATCCAAGTTTACCTCAGCGAGAATCGTATCAATGTTAGTCCTCTCCATGAAAATTTGTTTTTCACTTTTTTAAAATAAGCTTTCAATTTTCATTAGTTTGATTAATCTGTCACATCTGCATTGTTCTTGTGGCACAACATTCATTTTTCTCTTCTTTTACAATTTTGCTAGGGTCATTTTTATACGGTATTTTAGCAGATTGGGTGGTGATCTAATGTAGAGAAACCCAAAGGGGACAAGGAAAGGTGTGGGAGTGCCCTTCAGGTTGTGGTATTTGTGACAAAAAATCTCGGAAGAAAACCACAAAAGTAGAAGGGAGAAAATGCACCGCGTGAAAAACACGCATCTGTGCGTGCCAAGGTGAGTAGCAGTAAAGGTATTCTTGTTTACCCTCTTTTGTGCAGTCTCGTAAGCTACCAGCTCATTTTGTTGATTTAGATATTCTGGCTGATTGAACCTAGTCTGACCAATATCCGCTTATATGAGGAATTTGTGAAAAACCCGGAGCAAACAGGATTTTTTGGTCATGTTGTTGATAAATGCGCTAGAGTGGTATTGAATCCTGGAACAACAAC